CAATACTTTCACTCGAAATGGAAGTAAGCTCAAAAATTATGAAACAAGAGATTCCTCGAAACCCAACTTTTCTTCGAATTTCACAAAACCTTTCCTCGCAAAAGGAATTCTCATCCCGGCTGAACTGGACTACAGTTTCGACTTCCTTTGTAGCACCCTCCCTGGGACACGAATCCGGGCAATGCAGACATCGTAAATGGACAAAGTTTCTTTGAAATCCATCTAATTTCATTCAATGGAAACATGAGGCCCGATCATGTGATTGTGCGAACATTTTACTACTTCATCCCCCCTAGTCGAAATAGGGGAAATACAGCTTTCCTACGAGATGTGCTGGTAGTATCGATAGCCTATTTACAAATGGAAAATAGGGGAAATCACATGACATGGTATGTTTAACTCCACTATTGGACCTTCGCATTACATTCATCGAAATCTGGTGACTAAGTTCTGTTGCTGATTGTTTCACAACAGACATCGAAAAGTATAAAATTGCCCAGGGCCAAAGACGTCAGACAACCTGAAGCTTGAAAATTGACGTTTTATCAAACGAAACCGCTCAATTGATGCGTCTTCCTTCACGAGAGCTCTTGAGTAGGACAGACAAAAAGTGCATCTTCACCAACACAATATCTTGTTTTACTCGCCCCAGAAGTGGGAAGGTAGCAACGGCGCTGAAGCAGTCGGAAGTCGACGCCATCCAGTTTGAAGGCCAGCAGAGCTTGGTAACTCGGCGAAGTTGACAGGCGTAGGGCTGTCGGGTCAATGAGATAACCATCTCAACATGGCCTTAGCCACACTCCTCTTATACGCTCTATTCTGCTCTCTCCTCTGGGACTAATGGTTAGCTTTCCGAATGGGATAACTCCAATACTTTCCTCTTGAATGACGTACGGACGAAACAAAGGCTGCCTGGGGCGCCAATGCAACAGGCGAAGGCCTGATGAGGCAGTTTTCCACATTTGGCCATCTATCACCACAGGCGATAAAGTCAGCTGTGGGTTTGTGGGCGAGGCAGAGAACGGCAACATGTGACTTTGCTTGAAGTCTCCCCAGACTGTGGAGCCGTAGCAGAATGCAATTGAGCTCAACTTTCCGAAGTCTGTTCATCATGAAATTTTTAGGAAATAAAATACTTTTTATTATTTATTAATAGGTTTTATATACTACTAATAAATCATATATGTATATATATATATATATGCGATGTATTCACCTGATTTCGTTAAAGGTGGTAAGGGCACTGGTATTTGAAGTTTCCCGCAATCGTATGAGTAGACCTTACGTTTCCATTGAATGTAACATATCCCTGCTTTCCCAAAAGGTATTTTAAACCGGGCAAGATTGGAAACGTCAGTTCTACTTATATAATTGTGGGAAAATTCTACTACCAGTCCTTCATCACCTTAAACGCATTAGGGTGAATGAAATATGCCTCTTTAATCACATGAAGGTAAAGTATTGGTCCTATAATACCACGTAAAGGAGGTGCATTCCGGATAAATTCAGATTGCCGACAGGTGCCTATTGCTGGTAAATTCTTGCAGATGTGTCTCTCTAACGAGTTAAATACAGACAGACAGGCGACCTACTCCTCCGAAGGAGGTCAAAATGTGCAAAGAGCAACAACAAATATATTTATGACTTTTCATACATAATTAGTGTGTCGAGACTACCAGTAAATCACTTATATGAGATTTATTCACTCTATTTCGTTCAATATGATTACGGACTAGTAGTTGAATTCTCCCACAATGATGTGAATAGAGCTGTCGTTTCCATTTAATCGCACATAGCCTTACATTCCCAAAAGTTGTTCTCATCCAGGCACCAGTGGACTGCACTTTCGACCTCCCGGTGGTCCTCCATCACCTTAAACGAAATATTGTAAATACATTTTAAATATTTATTCCTCTTATTGTTATTATTATTTATTTGTCATTTTTATTACTTTTGCTAT